TTTGGACATGAGTGGTACCTTTTGAGTTCTTCTGTGTTTCTGTTGGTGAAGCTATTTCCGACTCCTCTCCAAGCACAGACTAGTGCTAATGCTTGTTTACCATTTGCACATAACAAGTACCTGGGAAGATATCAGATTGTTCTGTAAATCTGTCGTTTTTGTCTTGCCTTTCTTTTCCATTATCTCTTGATGTCGTGATGTTAAACCTCTGATCTCTCTCCAAGCACAGGCTAGTGCTAATGTTGTATTATCATTAACACGTAGCAAGTACCTGGAAAGATTTCAAAATAATTTTCTCGGCTTCACTGATGTTTTCAAATTTTCATCTGTATTTCTTCTAAGATGTAAATTCCCAATACCCTGTCCAAGCACAGACTAGTGCTAATGTAAATTTGTCATTAGCACTTAGTAAGTACCCGGAAAGATCTAAGATTTATTTTCGACTTTCTTCTTCTGGTGAAATGTTCGTTCTGACAATCTTACACCAAGTCTTTGTATTTAAAGGCTAAGGTGTCAACAATTGATAAGAGTCATATTGCATCTCTTCGTTGAGCTTCTGATGTTTTAGAACATATGAGAAAGTCGTTGAATATTGATTAGTGTCATAATTAATCAGATCGATGTATGCATCCCAAGCTAAGCTTTGACGATTTTCAAAGGGTGGGTAATCACGGTAATTTTCAGATATTAATAGTTTTTTTTTTGCTTTTTTTTTTAATTTTAGATATTCAATGTTATTTAAAATTTTGCCAAAGATATGACATTTTTTTTTCGTTACTTTCATACTTGTGTCCCAGTGCAGACTAGTGTTTGTAAATTTTCTTAAATTAACATACTTTTTTTAGGCTTGGTTCCAAACGTACAGTAAGATCAATACAAAGACAACAAAGTGCTCACAAAAGAAATCAACTCCATGAAGAAATTATGAGAGCATCTGACAGGGACAAAGATCTTTTCTTTAGATTAATAAAAACTCAAAGATCCTCTTCTTCCCAATTCACACAAACGGCGAACAAGGAAGCATCCACGCCAGATGATATGAATGATCTATTTAAAGAAAATTTTGCAAACTTAGCAAAAACAAAGGTGACTCGTCTATTCAATGAAGAACATGACAACTTGGTCAACTTAGATGCAGAAACAATAGTCGATTTATGTGAAAATGAAGAAATAACCATTCAACCAGTTACCTCCAATGAGATATCAAAACTGGTTTCACAAATAAAAAACGGAAATCTGGAGATGTAGACGGTTTAACATCTGAACATCTTATACACGGAGGTTTATCTTTAATTGACTACTTGACAACTCTCATTAATAACATCTTCTATACGAAACATGTGCCTGATGCTATAAAAAGGGGACTTCTAACTCCAGTCCATAAAAAAGACAAGGACCCAACAATACCATCAAATTATAGAGGAATATCAGTCATCTCGATTATTTGTAAAGTTTTAGAACTCTGTTTGAGAGCTAGGATTGAAGGCACTTCAAACAAACAACAAAATAGACTGCAAAAAGGTTTTACAAAAGGTGCTTCCTCAATAAATATTGCTCTTTTAATTACCGAAGCCATCAATGAGGCAAAAGATAAGAATGAAAGGCTCATGTTAATCACCCTAGATGCAGAAAAAGCCTCCGATGTCGTAGATCACATACATCTTTTTTGGAAATTATATCACCAAGGAATCACAGGTTTAACCTGGCTACTGATCAGAGAACTATATATATATATATTATAATACATCAACCCAAGTAAAATCTCACGGACGTAACTCAGAAGCATTCACTAACGAGCAAGGAGTAAAGCAGGGAGGTGTTTTATCTGCTAACTTTTACAAAGCTTACAATAAGAATATTCTAGATACACTCGAAGCAACACATATCGGTTTTTAGATCGGAACCAATTATTTGGGTTGCCCAACATGCACAGATGATATTATGCTATGTGTAACATCGGAACAGTATGCATCAGCTCAACTCCGCATCATTGAAAGCTGTACTAAAAATGATCGAGTTAAGATCAATAGTAAAAAAACTGAAATACTGTTGATCAACAAAAAGAACAAAGAACATAACCTTGAACTTTTTAACGAGAAGATAAGCGAAAAACAGAACATAAAGCACCTGGGTATTGAAAGAAAGGACCGAAATAGCCCAAATGTAGTAAACAGAATCTCTACTGCTAGAGCAACTACATGTACTCACTCATGGGAGCAGGTCTACATGAAATAAACGGAATAAATCCATTGGTATCGTACAAACTTCGGCGAACTTATGTCATACCCAGAATGCTATATGGTATTGAAATTCTTAACTTCACCAAGACGGATATTTTAAAACTAGAAAACTTTCAGAAAAAATACATTTAAACAACTACTGTCTCTACCACAACGGACAGAAGATGTTGCAATCTATATCCTGCTTGGGGCAGAATCCGTGGAACAGCTTATCCACAAAGCAATGATTGCTATGTTCCTTAGAATTTCAAAAGATAGATATTCAATTGAGCATAGGAATAAGACAATTTAGCAACAAAAGATGGTAACTCCAACAGTTGCTATATGTAAAAGTAGATAATATTCTTAAGTCATATGAATTATCATCTGCACATGAGATAATCTTAAACCAAAAGAAAAACTGGAAACACTTACTCATGATATGATAGATTCAACTTGGAAAACAATATAGTCTGAGATATCTGAAACCAAAACATCACTGAATCATATGGTAGTAAGCAATTGAAACTTCCGAAAACCAAATACATGTTGGAGCAGTGTCAGAGACAACAAGCGAGGTGTTGCTAAAGGAATAATAAAGTCCAGAATATTGACTGGGACATATAAAACTCAAAGTATTAACAACCGCTTTGATTCAACAAAATCTGCAGAGTGCAAATTGTGTATAGAAGGAACAGAAGATTACAAGCACTTTCTTGTTAATTGCATAAGCCTTAAATCAGTGAGAAAAATCTACTACATCAGACTTACTACAACTACATCGTTGAATCTGAAAACGATCTGCTTCAATTACTAGTCGACTGTTCCAGCAAACGTCGCATACCTGTGACTCACCTAGTTGCTATAGAAAGGATATGCAAAGACTGGGTATATGCATTGCATACCAAGAGAGCGGAATTATTGCAGCAAAATATAATAAACATTCATGTTTGACTCTTAGAACCTTATAAGATCCTGTACAAAGCTGGCTACTATCGGTCATGAGAATGGAAATAATTTAGAGAGAAATAGTTAAGGATGATATCCGAATACTCTACGAGACTGAAGCCTATTGTTGGTTAGTAAATATATAAACTATATGACCCCTGCATTCTATTTTACACATAAATAACAACATTTACTAATAGAAACCAACAACTTGGTTCCTTGACAAGATTTTAAATTTTAACAATATATTTAATGTATGGATCCCCACGTGATTGTTGAACTTGCTATCATTATTGACATAAATAATCCTTATCACATTAATTATTTTTAAACTATTGGACACTTTTAACACAGTAATTAAAGTTTTATGCATTTTAAATGTACAGTGTATATACAAGTTTTTCCTTTTATTCTTTTTACCCTTATTATTTTATTTTATTTTACCCTAACACAGATAAAATATCTTAATCTAATAACAAATTTTTAAAGTTACGCATCTTTAAAAATATGAACTAAAATATCTTTAATGCGGTGACCCTGCAAATAGGGTGGACTTCCGTAAGAAGAAGAAGAAGAAGTAAGAATTAAAAAAATAAATCAACAGGACAAACACTAACTTGAAGAAGAACTTTAGAAACGGCACATGATTTTGTTTAGCAGGGTCAAAATAGGATGGCTAGCAACTACCAAGACTAAAGAACGTTAGCTAAGTTAGCTGCTGTAACAGATGATGATTAGTTGGTGTCAAGAAAACAAAATAAAGTAAGAAAAACATCACTTCTAACAGGTTTAATGTCTCATCACAAAACATAATTTAATTGAAATTAGCAGTAGATATTAGAGACCAGTTAGAGACGCCCTTTTGTTTTTGAGGTGAGGGGGATTGGAAAGCACTCTGTTAGTGAATGTAGGTAACAAATCCATCACCAAACACACCAGCAGCAATTAAACAGTCTGTTTATAACTTCACAAAAGGCCCTTTTTAGGACCACCAACATTTTTCAAAAAGAGTTTACCTAGGCTAGTGGTAAGTAATATTCTGGTCTTGTAAGGACTGAAATAATGAGCTTGTCCATGCTGAATATATGCACCTTTTAAGTACGAAACGAAATACAAGAGTAAATCAAACCAAAATTAACGAAACGAAGTCATAGGGTTGCCCTGAACAACGCTCTGACCGATAATAACATGCAAGTAACTTGTTTTTATTTCTTAAAAAAGAAATGAATTCAAATTTGGAATATATTCATGTATCAAGATTAGATATGATTGTATAGTATTTTATAAAATATTCCATGTAGGTTTATCGACCTAGAGGTGATCAGTGGTATGTAGACCTGTTCATCAGGTCAATGTAATGGTCTGTTGGCTTGCTTACATACCAATATATTTACCCGATGACTTGTTGAACCCGTTCTGCTTAAAAAAATAAGCTAGTAAGTTAAGTTTAGACACAATAATTAGGGTTGCCTCGGCATATCAATTTAAATATAATTGCCGTAACTAGATAAACGTATACTATACTTGGGCCCAATCATTTGTCAACAGTTCAAAGAATCAGAACGACAACAATTAATTTTACAATTTTTTAAACCGGCGAGAATTTACAGTTCATTCTGGATTTCATTTTTCTCCATAAATTTAACGATCATTTTCAAGACCGAAATTTCATGAAAAATAGTTTTCCCCTCCGTTGTCAGTCAACCTACATATGTTGGATTGAAATATGGTAAATATTCGCCAAATACTTAAGGAATACAACTAATAGTGTTTCAGCAGGCGTTCCATATGTATTAATTCGTGGTTATCGCCCCTTGATTTTATTTATAATAAGTTTTTTCACAGCCAAGACACAATCAGCTGGTAAGTAAACATGATATGTAGTTGATTTTTATTTAAAGAACTGAATTTAATCGCAAAATAAAAATACTCAATAAATGTCTATTTATTCCTTACAAACAAAGAAATCAGTCGCTGACATTTTATGGCTATCCACTGATACTTGTCGTTGATAAAATATTAACATTGATAGATATAGATTCTTACATTGGTACAAGTGGATTATCGATCGAATTTCCAATCGAGAGGACTTTAAAATTCGACAATTTAACTATCTAGATTGGATAAATCCAGTAATTCACGAGTTACTTTGTAAGAATCTGTTTCTTTATTGATTATCAAACACATTTTCATTTTTGATCAACTTCGAGTACATTCCGGATTTCGACGTCATACAAAATATCTCTAACACCTGTTCGCACATTTCGATTCATTCAGAGAGATGATAGAGGTTGTGACCTTGTAACTTAGCCAATCATCTACTGAGATCATCGGCAACCATACGTTGATTATTTATTTTTTTAAACAATGGGTCCAGAAAGGGTTAAATTGCCAAAAGAATATGATAAACGTAAACATCTTAATGGACAGTTTATTTTCAGAAAGGAGTCTGGATTTAAAATTGTTTCTATGTATATTTAATATTTAAACGAAATGTAATTATAGAACGCATAATTACATATTCAATCGATTTATCTTCATATTGTTTTTTAATACAAAAACAAAGGATATATAGGGTATCTATCTATGACACAAAATCAGTACATGCACAGCATTTTCGCCTCTGATAATAATTAAAATTTGTTAAAAATAACAATTAAAACTATAATCATGATAATATATAGGTACATGACGGAAAAAATGAACTTAAAAAATGAACAACCCAGGATTAATTAACGTCGGTCAAAAGCTTTTTGTTTATTATTCTATGATTGTGGTCTGTTATCTTTTTCTGGATTGAATATCATGTCATTTTCATTGGCTATTCGTCAGGTCATTGATGACTTTCAAAGGTCAAATCGAACTCAAAGTATATTTTCTCCTTGGCAACGAAGATATCTAATTTCGATTGTGTATGTAAAAAAAAAGTCGCGCTATTGCTTATACGAGTTCAGTATTGAATATTCATTTCACCCGTCCACAATCTAACCGCTATGGGTCACCATTCGGCCTTCAACAGTTAGCAAATCCCATACCGCCAGTAAGCTATTAAAGGCTATTGACACAATAAACGAAAAACAAATATGACTGGCAGCATCCAACAACAACCACTGAAGTTAATGTTCCTGACTGATCCTGACTTGGGACAAGCACAAACAGAATGTGTGTGCTATCATCAGCATATAATAATAATTTACAATCTAAAATACATTGGTTATATAGATATAAGAAGATGTGGTATGAGTGCCAATGAGACAACTCTTCATCCAAGTCACAGTTTGTAAAAGTAAACCATTATAGGTCAAAGTACGGCCATAAAGTATGTTTATTGTTATATGTCTCCTAACATAGTGTCAAAGATTTCTAAATTATTTTCAATAGGCTTAGTATATCTAATGTCTACCAGAGAAAAAGTTTTTAATCTTATTTTAAGAATTTTGTACCGGTATTATATAATTTGTTTTGGAAAAATTAGAACTATTGTTCCAATTTTTTCCTAATGCACCGGCCTCGCCGAACATGATGTAGCAAGGTTAGGTACTAAATCAATACACACTGAAATAAAGTTACCAATAATCTTTTTACATATATCTACCCATTTCTTTGGTTAATTGTCTCCTCTTCAATTGAATTTTGTATATTTTTTCTTGCTTCTAGTAACAGATTGTAATAAATGTTTAATAATGTAATAAATCTGATCAAATTTCAGAGTACTTATTGCAGTCACGTGTGATATGTCGACCTCGAGCGAGTACTACTCATACAAATAATATGTCAATCTGGAGCGACAACTCATACAAATGATATGTCAATCTGGAGCAATAAATCATACAATTCAAATGATATGTCGATATGAAGCCAGAACTCATATAAATGACATGTCAAACGATCGAGAACTCATACGAAAGATATGTCGATCGGAAGTGAATACTAATACAAATAATATAGTAATGTAGAGCGGGAACTTTTACAAATGGTATGTCAAACTGAATCAAATGGTATGTTAACCTAGAGCTGGCACTTGTAAAAATAGTACACCTTAATTGTGCCATACATCTAGTACAGGATTTTTGAGGATACACTTTAGAAGAATACATACTGACATGACTGATGATAAATCTTTTAATCATGAAGTTTGCGGGGAAAAATTTTCCGAGAGCTGGAACTTGCAGAGAACACACACTGGTGATAAAACTCGTCAATGTGACATATGTGATAAAACGTTTAATCAGCTTGGTAACTTGCAAAAACACATGAGAGTGCATACGGATGATAAACCCCATCAATGTGATATATGTGGTAAAGCGTTTAGACAGCTTGTTAACTTGCAGAATCACACGAGAACACACACTGGAGATAAACCACATCAATGTGATATATGTGGTAAAAGGTTTATTCAACATTGTAACATGCAGAATCACATGAGAATACATACTGGCGATAAACCTCATGAATGTGATATATGTGGTAAAAGGTTTGGTCAGCTTGGTACCTTACAGAGACACAAGAGAACACACATTGGTGATAAACCTTATCAATGTGATATATGTGTTAAAAGATTTAGTCACTTAAGTACTTTAAAGAAACATAAGAGAACACACACTGGTGATATGCCTGATCAATGGGATATCATTGGTGAAGAGTTAAGTAGCTTGCAGAATCACTCGAAAACATACACAGGTGATGAACCTGTATTCGGTAAAGGGTTAAGTGATCACAATGCCTATCGTACTCACTCGGGGACACACACTGGTGATAAACCTCACCAATGTGATATATGTGGTAAAGGATTAAGTCATCTTTGTAGCTTACAGAGACACATGAGAAAGCATACTGGTGATAAACCGTTTAAATGTGGTGTATGTGGTAAAGAATTTGGTCGAAGATATGTTCTTTATAGACACGTAACAACACACTCAAGTGATAAACCGTTTTCGTGTGATATGTGTGGTAAAGAATTTAGTGATAATAGTAATATGCATAAACACATGAGGTTACATACTGGCGATAAACCTTTTAAGTGTGGTGTATGTGACAAAGGATTTAGTCGAGTTGATTACCTTCAGAAACACATGAGAACACATACTGGGGATAAACCGTACAAGTGTGATGTGTGTTGTAAAGAGTTTAGTGATCACAGTGCCTATAATAGACACATGAGGATACACACTGGTGAGAAACATGAAAAATGTGGCGTCTGTGGTAAAGAGTTTGGTCGAAAAGAAGCTCTACAAAGGCACAACAAAACACACACTCGCGATAAAACATATGAATGTAATGTGTGGTAGAGGGCTCAGTAACTATAAGAACTTACAGAGGCAAAACACACTTGCTTACATAAAGTTTTTGTATGATGGAAAAGAGTCTGGTCGAAAAAATAATTTAGCAGAGGTGCATTAGAACGCATACTAGTGACAAACCTTACATGTGTCTTATATATACAGTCGACTTCGACTCATCCGAAATTTCGAGTCAACCGAGTTCGAGACAACGAGAGTAAACTGTAGAAAATAGTTCATTCGAAAATATAATTAACTTAAAAACATGAAAGCACATACTGGTAACAAACCTAACAATCATGATGTACATGCTATATACGTCATGTATGTAAAAACATGAGTAAATTATGTAGTCCGACTTAATACAACAATACACAAGGGGTCCATCAAAAGAAGAAGTATGTTCGATAAGACCTTACTATGGCCTCGATTTCTAGCTTTTTTTCAAATAATGATTTAATTGCCCTTTTAATTTACATAATTGGTGAAAAATTATCATTTTTTTTTTGTATTAATAATTTAATAGTAAAAATTAGTTAGTTAGCTTTCAATTAAAACAGGTTGAATGATCAAAATAATTTTAAGCATTATTTTTAATATAAAATTAAGAATGGAAATGGGGAATGTGTCAAAGAGACAACAACCCGACCAAAGAGCAGAAAACAGCCGAAGGCCACCAATGGGTCTTCAACACAGCGAGAAAATCCCGCACCCGGAGGCGGGCTTCAGCTGGCCCCTAAACAAAAATGTGTACTAGTTCAATGAAAATGGACGTCACGTCACTCTAAACTCCAAAACATATAAATGAACTAAAATTAAAAAACATATAAGACTAACAAAGGGAAGAGGCTCTAGACTTGGGACAGGCGCAAAAATGCGGCGGGGTAAACATGTTTTATGAGATCTCAACCCTCCCCCTATACCTCTAGCCAATGTAGAATAAACAAACACACAGCAATACGCGCAGTAAAACTCAGTTTAAAAGAAGTCCGAGTCTGATTTCAGAATAGGTAACAAAAGAAACTGAGCAAAATGACAAGGAAACATAAATTAACAAATGACTACTAGCAGTTACTGACATGCCAGCTCCAGACCTCAATTAAACTGATTGAAAGATTATATCTTCATCACATTAAAAATCAAGCACAATCCCTCCCGTTAAGGGTTTAGTATCATACCATCATAAAATATACGAGAAGAACATAACCCGTATCATGCCAACAACTGGTTTTAGAATAATAAATGTGTTTTTTTCCGATGCAAAGACCCTATGAGTGAATCAATATTAATACCAAAATATGCCATCTTTAATAATCTGACAATAGTATCGCAACTATATCCCTTCTGAATAAGTCTGTTTAAAAGTTTGGTTAGCTTTTGAGGTGAATGTCGACATTTTTGTGCTAGTTATACTTGTTTTAAGGGGAGACTGTAAACTTCTTGTTTTGTTGGTAGTGAAAATTGAAAACTTATCTGTAGCTACTGTGGGTCTTTCCGGAGCAGGCGAATGTATTCTGAAGGGAGAATTTTTATACGACCGCAAAAAAATTTTGTGGTCGTATATTGGTATGACGTTGGCGTCGTCGTCGTCTGGCGTCGTCGTCGTCGTCGTCGTCATCGTCGTCGTCGTCGTCGTCGTCGTCATCGTCGTCGTCCGAAGACACATTGGTTTTCGCACTCTAACTTTAGTTTAAGTGTATGGATCTCTATGAAATTTTACCATAAGGTTCAATACCACAAAAGGAAGGTTGGGATTGATTTGGGGGGTTATGGTACTAACAGTTAAGGAATTACGGGCCAAAAAGGGGCCACAAATAAGCATTTTTGTAACTTCCAGACATAACTTGTGTGTAAGTGTATGGATCTCTCTGACATTGTACCACAAGGTTCCATTATCACAAAGGGAATGCTTGGATTGATTTAGGGGGTAATTGCCTCCAATTTTTAGGAACTAGGGGCCAAAAAGGGGCAAAAAACAAGCATTTTTCTAGTTTCATGACAATAACTTGTGTGTAAGTGTATGGATCTCTCTGACATTGTATCACAAGGTTCCATATTACAAAGGGAGTGCTGGGATTGATTTTGGGGGTTATTGCCTCCAAATTTTAGGAATTAGGGGCCATAAAGGGGCAAGAAACAAGCATTTTTCTAGTTTCATGACAATAACTTGTGTGTTAGTGTATGGATCTTTATGAAATTGTACAAGGTTCCATATCACAAAGGGAAAGCTGGAATTGAGTTTGGGGGTAATTGCCCATAACGTTTAGGAATAAGGGGCCAAAAAGAGGCCAAAAATAAGCATTTTTCTAGTTTCAAGACAATAACTTGTGTTCAAGTGTATGGATCTCTCTGAAATTGTACTGCAAGGTACGATACCACAAAGGGAAGGCTGGGATTGATTTTGGGGGTAATTGCCTCAAAATTGTAGGAATTAGGGGCCATAAAGGGGCAAAAAAACAAGCATTTTTCTAGTTTCAGGACAATAACTTGTGTGTAAGTGTATTGATCTTTATGAAATTGTACTACAAGGTTCCATATCACAAAGGGAAAGCTGGGTTTGAGTTTGGGGGTAATTGTCCTAAACGTTTAGGAATTTGGGGCCAAAAAGGGGCCAAAAAACAAGCATTTTTCTAGTTTCTAGAAAATAACTTGTGTTCAAGTGTATGGATCTCTCTGAAATTGTACTGCAAGGTACGATACCACAAAGGGAAGGCATGGATTGAGTTTGGGGGTGATGAATCATATGGGGGTTCAAACAAATTTTTTTTTTTGGGGGGGGGGGATTTTTTTTTCCTTTTTTTTCTTTAAAATTTTCCATTTTAAATTTGTTATTTCTGATTTATATATAAAAGCAAATAATAATGATATGGTTTGAATAGGTAAATTAAAAAATTTTAAGTTCTTTGACCACATTCATTCTGTGTCAGAAACCTATGCTGTGTCAAATATTTAATTACAATCCAAATTCAGTGCTGTGTCAAGCTTGAATGTTGTGTCCATACTTGCCCCAACTGTTCAGGGTTCGACCTCTGCGGTCGTATCAAGCTGCGCCCCAGCGGAGCATTTTATTAAACCAGGTAAAAATCTATGAAATTAATATAATTTTGATTATCTGAAATGTGCCTGTATCATACCTACATGGGTATATTATATACACATTACCTGATTTCAGGTCTTTCGTATTGAGATTTGGCTTTTTTTTCATTTTCTATGGGTAGAACTTTTTTATTTTGTTAAAATTCCAATTTATTTTTACTTCATTATAAACTAGAGAAAATTCTAATTCCAGTGATATCTAATTTTATACAAGTTGAAGTATCTTTATTAACAATACCACCAGTATATAAAGGGTTACTTACGCATGATCCCAAAATATGACTAAAAAAACTATTGATTGCGCCCATTATGGGTCTATAATTGTCTCCCGCGCAACGCGTTGCGGGGGACATAGAAATGCCGGGCATCCGTCCTTCCGTCCGTCCGGTCTTGTTAGCGCTATCATGTGTTCAATTCTTTCCAGATTTTTATGAAACTTATATCATAGGTTTATATCAGCAATGTCTTTGACGGGTTCGAAAATCAGTGCTGATCAATTGTTTTTAAAAGAGTTATGTCCCTTGGAAACATTAAATATATGGAAAATTGCATTGTTAGCGCTATCATGTGTACAATTCTTGCCAGCATTTTATGAAACTTAAATCATAGGTTTATATTAGCAATGTTTTTGACAAGTTCGAAAATCAGTGACGATCACTAATTTCTTAAAGAGTTATACCCCTTGGACATATTAATTATATGAAAAATTGCCTTATGAGCGCTCTAATGTGTACAATTCTTGCCATAATTTTATGAAACTTATATCATAGATTTATATCAGCAATGTCTTTGACACTTCGAAAATTAGTGTTGATCAAATAATTTTAAAGAGTAATGCCCCTTGGAAATATTTAGTATAATGGAAATCATATTGCATTTGCTCTGACGCCTTCATTTCTCTAAGATATTAATAAAAAGTTTTAAAGAACAAAAAAAGTGCTTTTTTTAGTTATTGCCCTTGTACCTTGGATAGATAAAATATGTGCAACGCGGGGGACATTGGAACTCTGTTCTTTTATTTTTATTATCATCACACGGGTCACGTGATTTTAAGATGGTGCAGAATTCTGAATTGGAGACATATCATTTTTTGGAAGGTGATGTTTCTTTGTACCCTTGTGTATTTAAATTACAATTCGTTCTCTTTATCTGTGCATGTAGTGACGTATTAGATTTCAATGAAAGCGATATATGTATGACGGGTAAATTATTAAGTCAGTGGTGATTTCGATACCACAAATTACTAATAACATAATTTCATTAAATGATTTGGAAAGGAAGCTTGGCTGTACCCGTAGAATTCTTAATACAAACAGGACATTGATGTTGTTTATAGAACCCGTAAATCTAGATTCGATCAATATAAATTCATTGATCTTTTAAATACATTTTTTTAAGGTTTTGAATTAACCACTCTAGTACATTTGTAAGATCTTTAAATACTGTTTTCATCGGGATTGACATTGGCTTTGAACTTCCTTTCAGTTACTGTGAGCTCTCTTAGATTGGTACTTGGTGTCATTTGTCTCTATCTTAGTTGTGTTTGTGCTTCGTTTCAGTTTGATCAGCCATTTCCAACTGGTTTTTTTGCAGGTTGTTCTTATATTGTGATGCAACTGTCCAAGGTTAGAAAGTCAAACGGATGAAGAGTTGATAAACAGGTTTCATCCCGCCACATTTTTGTGTGCCTATTCCAGTGAGGAACCTGTTATTCGGCGGTTGTCGTGGGTTTCTGTCTGTCATGTTTTGTTTTTTTTTCAAGTTGAAGTCATCCCTTCGAAATGTTTACGCATGTCATCAGGATTTTCTTACCGTTATCGAATGTCTGACTGTGTCGCCGGTGTTGTAGATATATGTTCCACTTGTCGAAACCTCAATCCTGTCCTCTTCCTCGGTTGTGACATCGTTAAATGAGACTTATAACCGAATTTTCCCTTGCATGAGCAACTTGATGGGTGACACATGTGAAGCAGGAACTCCTTATCCATTATTAAAAGTAGACCCTCAGGCTGCAAGTTTTGCAATATATCTGACGATGGAAAAACATTTCTTCCTAAATTGCCAAGCACATTAAAAAAACTTTGAGAGAATTATTTTAAAAATATGAAAAATATAAACAAAGAGTTCATACATTAGATAACATAGATGGAACAAATCAACAAATTTAAATTCAACTCCACGTCTCGCAGTCAAATAGATAGTGAATAAGATAGGAGTTGACAACTCTCTAACTTACAACCCCTTCAGATATGATTATGGAATATATAAAAAGATATTTTTTAAAGTGTATCTCCCTCATTTACCAGCATGCACTGTGAAAATCCACCATAAAAAATGATTTTTCACTAAATCACTGGGACAAAACTGAGTTTGTTGCCAGTATGTTTCTAAATGTGTCTAGTTGTTAAGTGTTAGACATATCCGAAAGACATACAAATGTTACATCTCATGATTTTTAAGATTTTGACTAAATATGAAGTCATTTTGATCAACTGCAATGGAGAAATCTAAAGAAAAATTAACGTCCGCCATATTAGACTTATTTTTTTGTATCAACAAACAGCAAGTAGGTATACGACAGATCAGACAAGTGCTCATACGTTATAAATCATACCTGTCAAACTGCTGACCAAATATTAAGTCATTCTGTTCAGTAATTCATGAGAAAAGTGAAACAAAAATATGTTTGAACGGACGGATAAATTGGTTTCAACTTAGCGCCCACATTTTCAGAGTTTGTGTTGAGAGTAGGAGCCTAATAAATTGGTAGTCTGTGTAAGTTCGCGTGTGTTTTTGTAAGTTGTTTAAATCACTAACCTGTTTTACCATATACAACACAGTGATAGCCAGTATGTGTTGATAGAGAATATTTATGGGTACAAAATATAATACTTGAAATAAAAAGTGTCAACATATATCTGGGACTAATGCACAAACAGATATTGGTACACAGGGGCGCGTATCATAGATGTTTTTGGGGCGGAAATATATGCCAGTCGACTGGTATGCGTTCTACATTGTGTTGCGTTTATATGCCAGTCGACTGGTATGCGTTCTACATTGTGTTGTGTTTATATGCCAGTCGACTGGTATGCGTTCTACATTGTGTTGTGTTTATATGCCAGTCGACTGGCATATATTTCAGCCCCAAAAACATCTATGATACGCACCCCTGTGATTGGTCCCAGAATGTATATAGCAAATTTAATTATCAATCAAAAGGTGTTTTATTTAAATCTTCTCCCTTTGGCGTCCGTCCATTATACGCCCCGAAAGGGTTTGCATCTCTAACTGTAAAAAGTTATCATTTCTTCCTTGTTCTAAAACCGTTTTTTGTTAAAGTTTTTATGTGTTATATTGTACATGTTGTATATACTTTATTTATATTAATTTCAACGACACTTGTCTCTGAGAAATATACTGTACATACCTTTACTAGTTAATTACCGGTATTTATATATATATATATATGTATGTGTATAT